AATGACCGCAACTTTAAGTCACCATGTAGCCTTTCAACAAAGATAATCTGATAATATTTCTAGCATTTTAAGGCAATAATAATGGTAAGACTTATTGGAACAATCTTGTTGGGACCTCATTTTTGACATATCATTGACATGTTGATCATTAGGGTGTATAGTAGTAGTACACCACAAATGAACAATGTGTCAGTGAGATTTTTGTTATGCTTAAACTCATTACATGTTTAATATTATTGTTGCTGCTTTATTGTATGGTGTTTTGGTGATTTGTACAGCACTTTGTCAAAATAGTGCTTTATAAATAAATTGGAATGGATTAGATGTGCCAAGTGAACAGATGTATGAGGATGTGCGGTTTTTCTGTCAAGAATGTTTTATGAAATAAAATAATTGATTAAATAGAAAATCAAGAATTCATGGCTCATTCAAAAAGGTAAATTATTCTGTGTGAGAATTACTGCAGTAAATAACAGCATACCATCCACAGCATGGTATGCTGCCACTCCCCAGAAGGTCGGTGGTTCGATCCCAGGCTGCTCTAGTCTGCATGCCAAATATCCTTGGGCAAGATACTAACTCCATGTTGCTCTCCGATTCATCCATCGAAGTGTGAATTTTTATGAATGTTAGATACCTAGCACTTAAGCTTAGAAGTGCTTGTGTGATTGGGTGAATGAATTAGTTGTATAAAGCGCTTTGAGTGCTCAGACAGAGTAGAAAAGCGCTATATAAGAACCAGTCCATGTACCATTTAGCATCCATCGGAATCTGGTCAAAGTTCTGGTGAAGGGTGGGATATGAAGATCTCACAGAACAAAGCCTCTACCACACATTCCCAGCAACTTCATCTATGAGTAGATGCCAAAACACCTGATACACCTCAGACTTGTATAGGACACTTTTGTTGCCTCAACTTTGTAGCTTGCTACAAATTTGAGGCAACAAAAGTCTCACTGTCTCACTGCTCCTAGATCCTAAGACTCAGTGTTACTGGCAGCTTCCAGCTGTCCAGGCTGCTTTGGTTTTGTGCGTGTTCAATTAAAGGCTTGATCTGATAAAGCATAACTTCTGTATAGACATGCAGAAATAACAGCAATGCAGCACCCAAAGGTCCGATGGTCTTACAACAGGGTTAAATTCTAACATTGTCTGTCTTTGTTCAAAGGGCAAATAAACCAACTTTGTCACCTTCTGCCCAACATGCTGAGAAGACATACATTCTAAGTCTAGGTTTGCATTGAACTGCAATAGCATCTTGCCTTCCATAACTGTTTTTTGAGGAAGTGATTAGTTTGCCTGTAAGCTCTTCCAGTCCAGTGGAAAAGTGCATCCACATGGTGCCTGTAGCGCCATTTATAATTACTTCATGTTTTTATTTCAGGTAATTTCTTTGAGGCATATTCTAAAATGTTTGCGAATAATGTATTTTGTCATAATTTCAATTTATTTTGAAAAGTGCCAACAAGATGTTCAGCTTTATTGTGAAAGGTTTATGTGGGGAAAGAAAACAAGCAGACGGCGGAGGCACACGCTGGGTTCACCGTTGTTGTTTCTAACGTCAACGTGTAAAAACAGTCACTGGTCCATCCGTAGTGTGGTTATTTTAAATATAAGAGAAAGAGAAAACTTTAAGAAATTAATATAGCCACTGCAGTGATCGTCAAACCAATAAAAAAATATTGCCGTAAACAGTTTATTTACAAGCGGCAGAAATGAGCTTCCTCCGAAGGGTGGCTGGCCTCTCCATTAGAGATAGGGTGAGAAGTTCGGCCATCCAGGAGGGGCTGAGAGTAGAGCCGCTGCTCCTCCACATCGAAAGGAGCCAGCTGAGGTGGTTCGGGCATCTGACAAGGATGCCCCCTGGGCGCCTCCTGGGTGAGGTGTTCCAGGCATGTCCCACCGGGAGGAGGCCCCGGGGCAGACCCAGGACACGCTGGAGTGTGTAATCGGCCAGCCGATTATATCTCTCGGCTGGCCTGGGAACGCCTTGGTATTCCCCTGGATAAGCTGGAGGAGGTGGCTGGGGAGAGGGAGGTCTGGGCCTCTTTGCTTAGGCTGCTGCCCCCGCGACCCGGCCTCTGATAAAGCGGATGACGATGGATGGAAGGACAGTTTATTTTGCAACACCATGAAACAAATTATGGCATAATATGAAACAATAGACGTTTTCATATCGTCATCCGATATATCTCGTTATATCCATCAGCCCTACAATGACGGTATATTGTCACCTTAAGGGATGGCAAAGTGGGTCTCCTGAAGTACCTATGGAACATGAGGGACTCATGTTCCATAGGTACCTCATTTCTAGCACATCAGGAATGAGGAGACAGAATTGCTGACCCTTTCAGATTTAAGCCAACCAGGGAACAAGAGAACAACATCTATAATGTATCTGTTGTGTTTTAGCCACTCTTCTCTTAACTTTATTATAATTATTAACTAGATTCTGTAAAATTGGGGTTAAACGTCATGATGACAGCTTTGACAGCTGCAATTACAGAAAAACTTGTGTATGTGCAGACGTACTTAGTAGAGAACTCAAACTCAAAAGAAGAAGTTGGTCTCGACGATACTGATCCGATACCAATACTTTGTACAAAAACTTAATGTGTTATTGTATTTAAAATTATAGCTTCATAATACTTATAGGACATCAGACTACTTGTTCTTATTGTTTAATTAAGAAGAATTATCATATAGAAATAAAAAAAACAGTTGTGTGTTAATTGACACTATTTGAACACGTATATCTTATCATTTAACATGTACTGTATTTTCGCTGCCCCATATCTCCTTGTAATAGTGACACCTGATTGAAGTTCAGATTACAGTTTTCGGCTGTGTGGACTAGAGTTGACATCTCATTTAAAGCAGTTAGAACATCCTGTGGCATCTCAGCTTGGCCTAACAATGACCTAAACAGTGTAATTTCCTGGTTCACAACAAACTGCTAATAGTTCACATCTACTGGTGGACACTGTGTTACATTGGTAAGTTTATCCAGTAGTCTTTGGCTAAGTTCATTTTAATTGCTCCTGGAACAAACAGCGGTTATTTAACACTACTGTATTAGCTTAATTTAATGATGACATTACAGACACATATATCGGGCAGCATAAAGGGTGGACTTAAAGATACTGTTCACATTAATGTCAACATTGGATACTCTGCCATTGTTTATTAAAAGTGTAATATCTAACAATATCACTCGAGGTTACCCTCAAATATCTCTCACCCTCAGTCTCCTCCCTTCCTCCTATATTAGTGTAAGTGTGACAAACAATGTATGAAATTCGTAACAAGTAATCATAAAATAGCATTAATATATGTGTGCGTGTGACAGACTTCTTGACACTGAATATGAGAATGAGCATGTGAAAGGAAAACAATTTATTCCAGCAACAGGGAATACTGTGATTTGATTGTTTGGTAGGTATATAAAATCCCCCACTTTAAAACGCCTTTACACTTTGCAACATCTTTGATGTTACACAAAATCATGGTCAAAAGTCTGAAACTGCATTAAAAATGACCTGAAACTAAAAAAATTAGATTTGAAATAAAAAAGAAAATGAAGCAGAAAAATTGTGAAACTAAATAAATGCAAGAAAACAATTTATTCAAAGTAAACAAAATTCATGTTTTCAACACATTTTAATTTTATTTTTTTTAATTTTTTAAACTTCAAAACTTAGAATTTCTGTGTGAAATCGCTTGTTTAAATAAGTTTTAACCCTGATTTAGCTCTCTAGTTAGCTAGCCAGTTAGAGGAACTCAAAACTCCTCCTCATACGACGATAATTTTTCTAAAAACATCACATGCCTTCAGAAATACGTATTTTCATTTTTTTTACAATTTCACTTTTCTATGATGTTTTTTCATTACATTAAGCTAAACTACTAAGGGATACTTACTGTAGGGTCTTACAGTATTTCAAGCCAGGCAGCCTCCCTCTTTGTGTCCTTTGTCAGAGTGGCATGAAGAAAGACCGCCCCTTTCCCGCAACTAATATGTCATGTTCCTGGGCAAGATTTGATTATTTTTCCAGCTTGTCTGTTTAAGCTTCTTTTAGTTTAATTTATTACCTATTCTTCCAAATTTAGTATACCATGCACACCTTGGCCCACATTAAATCATAAAATATATGATTTGATAAAAATTAAAAGTGTAGGACTGTGAAAAAAACAATAATTGGATATTTACATTCATTCAGTTTATATTGTTAGAATATAATAGTTAATATACACTTAATCACAAACACATTAATCCTGAACTGCTTTTTTTAGATCCTGCTTTTGCTGGATTTTGAAAATAACACAAAAACAGTGCACATTTTTAAATATTTAGTGTTTTACACATTATATTAGAATTAAAAAATGTTTAACTTATTCTTTCTAAGAATGGACCAGAGCTTTTTCAGTAATTTTACACATTTATTTCTTACAATTCAAGTCCAAAAAGACGTGGTCACAGAGTTCTTTCTTTCTCACAGCAGCTTTTTCTTTATCATGTAGAAAAGCAGTTAAAGATGTGACTTCTTTACACTAACAGAAAAAAGGGTGTCACTGGTCCACTTAAGATCAAAGTGGCTTTATGTGGCCTGTAATCAGTTTGATACCCCCTGATCTGCTTCAGTCTTTGTCGATGTGCGCATTTTGTAAACTGTCTGTAAGAAGCAGTACTGCTTGAAATCCACCGTGGAGCTGCTCACTTCTTTTTTTGCATCATGAGCCCGTGCCAGCTTGGAGATGTTCGCTGATCACTCTGCATTCCTTTACACATAACTGTTATGATCTCATTTCAGAAGGTGTCATACTGTTCCATATCATTTTCCAGTAACTTCATTTGATTGTCTCAGCCGCAGAAGATAACAAGAAACAAATACAAAAGCTCTTAAAAAAAAAAATTCAACTTTTTCAAAATTAAACCTTTTATGTAAAACACAATTAAATGAATGAACAAAAAACAAATGCAAACTGCAAAATTTGGGTAAGAGTCAGCAACATTAATGGAACAATATTACAATCAATAAAGTTCTTTTTCAGGTCATGTATGTTCTTGTTACTGTTATAACAATATCTGAATCAATAATAATTTATTATTAGTTTTGTTGCAAACATTTAGACTGCCAGCATAGTAAATGTTCTTTATCTTTATTCTCTTTCTTCTTCGTAACCTTAGTGTGAGCTCTTACTGTTGCAGCTTGATTAGAAATTCCTCTATTTCTCTGCTACCATATTTTTTAGTGTATTTCTCCAGCATTGTAATGCTGTTTTCACGATGGAAGGATTGGTGTGGTATCACTGCTGCCTTCTTGTGATATTCTATTGAATTTTGTCTATCAATCAACTTTCCATTAAAATATAAATGTTTTGCATATTTGTTGTAAAGCATTTGTTGCTCCTTATATTCCAGGTCACTTTCTAGCAGTTCATTGTATATCTGGTCAGCTTTGTCTTGCTTATTTACCTTTACATACATGTCTGCAAGAGTTATTTTCATGTTAAGTGAAGAATGAGGGTAAAGCGAAATCACCTCCTTACAGAGACTGATGGCTTTGTCAATCATGCTGCGCTCGAGCAGATTGGTCCTTGTCTGCCTGGAAAAGATCCTACTTCTGTAGCAGTTCGCAGCACACCACTTCAGGTAACGTTCATCTGGATGTCTTTCCAGAGCTTCTTCTATCAAATCAATAGCTTCATGTACAGATAAATATTTACTGTAAAGCATAAGTACCGGATTGATACCACTGTAGCTGCTAACTGGCTTTTTTAAAACTCTTCTGGCCAATGTGCATACTTCATCTTTCATTTTTGTTCCTTTTTGAGGACATGCATCAAGGTAAAGAGCAGCAAGGTACAAGTTCTCTGGATCGTGTTCTTTGGCGATTCTCATTTTTTCCACGATGGCATGGTCGCTATTGTTATGAGCCTTCACTAATGCTAACACATAGCTGGTCCGCCATGCCACCATGTCAGGCTGCATCCTGATGGCTCTCTGGAAGTAATCTATAGCCAGCAGCTTTTTTTCTTTGTTGAACTTCATCAGGGTCCAGGCTTTTTCTGCATAGATCTCTGGATGGAGTTCATCCTGGGATGGAGATGGGTATTCATTCATCAGTGCATTAATTTTTGACAGGTAATTCTGACTTTGTACTTGTTCTCCCTGTTGGTTGTGTAGCCAAGCCAGGTTCCCATAGTTCACTACCAGCCAGGGACCCTCATCTGATACTGTGTTTCTCATCTGACGGAAGGCTTCTGTGGCTCTGCTGAAAAAACGCAGGGCATCTTCACTGAAGCCCAGCTGGTAGTGAATGAACCCCTGCAAGTTATAAATGTGACCCAACCAGCTGTACCCCTCTTCGGTGCCAATGTCCTCCAAATTGTACTTGAGACGGAAAAGTGTGGACCTGCTACAGTCCAGATTCCAGTTGAAGTGGCACTGCAGAGCCTCCAGTTTGGACTCCAACGTTGACTGACTCTGAGAAGAACTATGGGGATTCAAAATTATGCACATTCAAGAAATATAATGTTCTGTAAATATTCAAATCACATACGCCCCCCCCCCCCCAAAAAAACCCCCAAAAAAACAAAAACAAAACAAAACAGAAAAGCTGCTACTCACCTCATCTTCTAACTCAGTTGCTTTCTAAATAGCACATGTGTCCTTTCTTTGGACTGTTTCTTTGGGTGTGGCACCATAAAAGTCAGTCATGTTTAACTTCTGTACTGTTGTAAATGATGAACTTTGAACTTAGTGAACTATTACTTCTCATGAAAGAATACCGCCACGTGTATGTTTAATTAGGTTAGGAAGATAGGTTAGCAAATGATTAATTTTGGGTGTTACCCAAAGTATTAGTCAGGAAACTGAAGTGTTGATTGCATACTTTTTTGATTTCTTTACCTGACGTAAAATATTTTAAGCCATCAAAAGGCTAAAATCCAGGTGAGGTCATACTAGATGATGTCTAAACTGAATTCCTCTTGAAATTATTTTTCAAAGTGCAGTTTAAATAAATGAAGTTCACACAGTTAAAGGCTGAGCCCTACCCAATCAACTCTATCAAATGCTTTTTCTACATTTAGAAACAATACTGTGGTTTCAGTGTTTTTACTGTGTCTATCAAATTGAGTAATCTATGTTTATTCATTCATCTATGTTTATTATTGGGCATACTTTTCAGGGCTTCCAGATGAGTCTTTAATGGCACATATAGTCATTTTTTAATTTATTTTGACTGGTTAGCTAGAAATTGTCCTAATTTGTTACCATGTTCTTGGAAGGCATCCCTTCTATGTATGGAAATAGGGTGTTGGGCCACCCATCACCGGTCATTCGGTACCTTTATGTACGAGCTTGGATTATAATGCCAGCAGTCAGACTTATTTCCAGTAGGTGGTTATAAACTGCAGCAGTAGTGGGATTAAGAAGCCATTTTTATTTAATCCTGTTGTCTCTTTTTTATTGGTTAGGAGCATAGGTAATAAAAATTGTCTTTCTTTGCCTTTTATTTTCAGTTAGGGAAGACGAGGGAACTTAAACCTTTGTTTGCTGTTTTGGCATTGTCCCAAATAAACTAGTGCCAGGCATTTCAGTTGTTCTGTGAAGCTGGCCTTTTCTTATGAGTTGTTGGAGTGGGGAGTTGCACCTCATCTCATATTTTTAATTTTCTGTTTCTCAACATATATATATTTTTTATTATATTTTATATATACATGAGTGTTACTTTATGTGCAATTTGGAGTTTTTTCTATGTACAATATTTAGGATTCCATTGCCAGTAGTGATGTGCCGCTGTTATCTGTATATGACTAAAAACACTTGAAATGTATTCAAATGAAAGTCTGTCTCTGCAGTAGTCATCATTTTGCACATGGATGTTTAGCTTTAAAATATGTGACCTCTCTAAACATTAGCAACTAAGAAAACTTGGCAAAAGGTGGCCTGGTAAATAATAAGTAAATAATTATTTTTTTTCTCCTATCCAATTTGGGGTCATAGGGGGCTGGAGCCCATCCTGGCTGTCAGAGTACACCCTGGCCGGGTCTAGAGTCTGTCAATGGTCTAACATGGACAGACAGCCATCATGCTTACATCCACACCTACAGCCAATCTAGAATCACCAGTTGGAGTTCCTGGAGAGATCGTGCAAGCTCAACACAGAAAGACTGTAAAAGCTGCAGTGCTATTTTGTTGTTGTTGTTATTGTTGTGACATTTCAACTTGAAATACACAATGCTATTGCTCCCATTAAGTCCTTCTAAGTTTTAAAATACGAAGGAAAGCGGGCTCTTACTTACCTTACTTACTTTAAAACAAACAAACAAATTAAAGTCAATCATAAGCGTTAACTCGAATAACAACCAGTAGAGGGCAGAAATACACCAATGTCTTTTCTGCCTATTTAAAAAACGAAGAAGGAAGAGGACCTCTGTGACGTATTTTGCTCTGCGACAGAAACTCTGTGTATGTTGCGGTTTAAAGCTACTTTTCTAGAAGCAGCTGCTTACTATGGAATATAAATGGCACTACAAGACTTACTGATGACTCCGTGATTAATGATGTTCATACGCGAACAGAAAAGAGGCGGCTGGAGCATGTTAAAGCCCCGTACAGTCACATGGCAGTTTGGTGTCGTCGGCTAAACTTGGTGACTATTTGTGCACAGTGCCTTTTTATTCGCGTCTCTTGTTTAGCTCAGATGAGCATGTAAGAGTCAGCCGTGGTTTGGTGGTGTGGAGTTGTGCATGTCCCGGTTGCAGAAAGTGGAGGAGAGCAGGCGGAGGGCGTGAGCTGTGTCCAGGCGGCTGTCGGTGTCCGGGATGGAGACCTGGACCCCCAATCCCCGAGCTAAGCCCTTCATCCCCCGTCAACAGAGGAGTCTCTATCTCACCTGGAAATACAAATTGACCAACAAGAGGACGATTCGCCGGTTCTGTCAGGTAAATACTGATAGAGCTCAGCAAAAGAGTGATGTTGCTGCTGTAAATCAGTAAAGTAAACGTATTGTCCTGGAGAATTGTCCTGTTTTCTCGCTTATTTTGCATTTAACAAGCCACATTAGCTCATATTTAAAGGTTTCATATTGCCAAAAAGTTTTGGTAAACGAAATGTCAGGTGCTCTTTCAAAGTAAAGGCTGCAAGACACATCCTGGCTTGATTATATCAGTGCCCGTTCCTAGATGCACTCACTGGGCACTTTGAAGGTTACACGTTACTCGTACTGGGTTGGACCCCTATTTTCCTTAATTTTTCATGGCATAGATCCAACAAGATGCTGGAAACACTCAGTGATTTTGATTTATATTGACATGATGGCATCACACAGCTGCTGCAGATTTGTTGGTTGCACGTTCATCTCAATCTCCCATTCCACTGCATCCCAAAGCAATCCACTGGATTGAAATCTGGTAACTGTGGAGGCCATTTGAGTACATTGAGATTATTGTCATGTTCAAGAAACTAGTTTGAGTTGATTTAAGCTTTGTAACATGGTTTGTTGTCCTGTAAACAGACGTCAGAATAAGCACACCGTAGTCATAGAGGGAGGGATGTGGTCCGCAATAATACTTGTTGGGTGTCGCATTTAAATGACAGTAAAATAAATACCATCTGAATCTCACAACAGAAATCAAGACTCATTAGTGCCAGTAGATCAGCAATTAAGTGAACCATTTGTAGAGTTTAATAATATCAAAATTAACTAACTACAGACATCAAGATGAACACTGATACATTTTTTTTTATCCTACAGGCCAGTGCCGTGTTGTTTCTGCTGATAACCGTCATAGTCAACATTAAACTCATCCTGGATACAAGAAGAGTTGCCAGTGAAGATGCAGCAGCCCAAGAATATGGTGAGAAACATGTTCACATGTCATTTTACTTATACTTAGTACACTCAGGTTTAAGTGAGTGTATGTATAAATTTGAGCCTGTATGTACGATTTTGACCCTGTGTGGATTGGTGAAAATCCTAAATGAATTCACACTAATGCGTCTAATTCTAAGACTTTAAAGATCTGTGCTGTATAATAACTCCGCAAAAAAAACTGCTACAAGCAACTCATTACCATGACATTCTACCCAGAATGTAGAATGTCGAGTGACCACAGCTTTAGCTTTGAGTTGTAACAGACTTTTGTGATTAGTAGTATTTCGGCCTGATAGATGGATGTCTCATCCTTTGACATGTCAACTTGAACTTTTTATCTTGATTCGTGATTTCAGAGTAAACTTTAACTACAGTCTTTCACCCATCAGTATGCTTGGACAGATGCTGCGATTTTGTCATGGATTTAAATTCAGTTTTATTTATATAGTTTCCTCAAGGTGACTCTATAAAATATCTCATTTACAATATGTGTATACAGTATACAGTACAGTCTATAGTCCCCAAATGTCTAACTCTTTGACTCTCTGGACAGTAATGCAGCTTTCAGTCAATTCCTCTGAAACGTTTACTGTATGTTAATGTAACAGTCAGTATTTAAATATGTACAAAATCAGTTTAATAGAAGAGTTGAGGGTTGATCTGTCTGTTGCTATCTGACATATTCACTAGGGGTGCAACGATACACAAAATTCACGGTTCGGTTCAGTTCGATACTTTGGTGTCACGGTTCGATATTTTTTCGATACAAAAAAATGTTCATGCCTTTTTTAATTTGTAATTTATTAAGATTATAAATATTTCTTTTAACTCAAAAATACAGTTTTTAAATGAGATGTTGCTGAAACAACAAAATAATAAAAGAATAAAGGAGTTTGGAAACGAGTTTATTTCAGAGAAATGTCCTTTTCCAAAATAAAAGCTATGCTATACCCTTCTTCTGGGGTATATTCTCAGCAGCATATATAACAAATCAGGTACCCATAAAATGAATCACTCTTTAATGGACCTCCCCTAACACTCATCTTCTGGAATGCTAGCACTTAGCTGCTTATACAGCATAAACAACTTAAATAAAAGGTCCTGTTAAATACAAACCAAAACATAGTTTACTCAATTTCCATGTTCTTCTTCAGAAAAATTAGGATGTCCACATGTTCTGCTGACAGTACAGATCTGCTTGCTGTGACAATGTCACCTGCTGTGGAAAACACCCTCTCACTTGGGACAGAGGTTCCAGGTACAACCAAGTAACACTGTGCCAACTTGGAAAGATGAGGGTACAAGCTGTGATGTTCCTTCCACCATCTCGGTGGGTTATCATCTGTGGGAATGCAGTCTGCTAACCTGTACAAGTTAATTTCCTCCTCTGCCACTTCGGCTGCAGACCTGGTCCTTGGCTTCTGTGCAATGAACAGTTCTCCAAACAACTCCTTCATGGCCGACTTTTTCTCTGGTGGAAATGCTGATGGTGAATCTGAAGAGTTTGCTGCTTGAGTCTCTGCGGAGGTCGCAGTTTCTGTGGTGCCTGCGGCTTGGTCTTGAGGAAATATAAACAACCAAACTGTTAATTGTATTTGTTTAAATAATATTTATAAATGAAGCAGTAGCTAAATAAAATTTCAAAAATAAAAAAAAGAACACCTACTTGTTCAATGCTCAAGACAAGTTCTGTGGCAAGTGCTCCATAGACTCTCAGCTGAGTGACATCATCAAAGTGTCGCAGGGACTTGAAACGAGGATCTAAAGCTGTGCACTTGTATAGGTAATTCTGAAGGGCAGGATCAGCGTATCTCTTCTCCAGGTCCTCCCTGATGTTTTTTTTTTTTTTTTTTTTTAAAAACATCTCTCACTGCTGGGCTGTCATCACCAGACTGCGCCATAGAGTTCAGGATGTTCATTTTAAGTGGTAGGATCATGGATGCTGTTGGAGATGACGCTTCACACATCATGACTGTCACAGTTTTTAGGGTTTTCATGACTGTAACAAGATTTTCAGCCAGTGCATGTTCTTCCTGAGTTAGATTCTGAATGTTCTTCATACTCTTCTTCACAGTATTGTCGGCCATAGCAGCAAACACTGCAGCTTGCTGTTCAAGGTATCTTTCCATCATATCATGAGAGTTCCACCTAGTTGGAACATCTTGAATCAGTTTTTTTTTCACTAAGCTGCAGCAGTTGCTGTTTTTTCTTAAACACATTGCATCCTGTTGTGCTTCTGTGAAAGAAGGAGACTATTCTTCTCATCTTTGCTAGGAGATGGGAAACCTTCTGCACTGCCATTCCTTTCTGAGCAGTTATATTAATTGTATGTGCAAAACATCCGATTTGTGGCCCCAGTCCAGCAGCTGTGACGGCATTAACTATGTTCTTAGCATTGTCAGTAGTTACAGGTATTGTCACATTTGGTCGCACTAACTTCCAGTCTTCCACAACTCCAGAGAGACCTTTGGCTCTCTGAAGCTGTTTTCCAGACGTGTCTGCAAAACAGTTTTTCATGTGCCATTCCGGATCAATGTAATGTGCGGTGACAGTGAGGTAGCTCTTGACGTCCAGCCGTCTGAGGTCAGAGCAACAGCGGGTGCTGCTGACACTGCCGTCTCTAATTTTGCTTTTGTCTCCTTGTACAAAGCGGGAACTGCGATATCGGTGAAATAGGTTCGTGAAGGAATACTGTAACGGGGCTCAAGTACTCTCAGCATTTCCCGAAACCCGGTGTTTTCTACAACAGAAAAGGGTCGCATGTCGACAGCAATAAAAGTAGCAATTGCCCTGTCGATTTCTTTTGCCCTCTTAGAATCATGCGCTAACGGCTGTCTAAATGACTCCGGCAAAGTGTGTAGCATGTGTGTTTGTTGTTGTTTTTGGCTGCCTTCACTCATCTTTGCACTAGGGTGATGTCGGCGTAAATGTGCATTCATATTTGTTGTTGCCACCGATGTAATTAACCATGGCGTGGCACATCCGACATACTGTTGTAGTTTTGTGCACAACGCGCTTACCATCAGGGTCATACTTCACACAAAAGCCAAAAAAGTTCCAAACGCCAGATTTCAATGACTGTGGAGGAGGTTCAACTTCGGGAGGCATTAAGGCAGTTGCCATGTTGCAATGAGCTTAGCTTCTGTCTCGCTAGCTTGATTGAATGCATGTGGGTGGCACTCAGTGGATCTGTACTCGACAGTGCAGCCTAGGCGGAGTAGTCGAACGCAGATTCACTGAGCGCTCAACACAGACAGCATTGTCAGAAGAAAAGTTGATAAAATAAATTAAAAAATTTTTGATACACATGCGTACCGAACCGAAAGCACTGTATCGAACGGTTCAATATCGATACGAGTATTGTTGCACCCCTAATATTCACCCATCACTCATTAACCTTCTGATACACGGTGTTCCATTAAAGTGTAGTTTTATTATGAAGTGCATCATTTTGATCTTGATGTTTGTTTTTCTCTCTTTAGAGGATGTTATTCCTAACATGGAGACAGCACGCAGGCCGGCTAATGGACGCAAAGTCCTCGACATTGAGGTGTACTCCAGCCGCTCCAAGGTCTACGTGGCAGTAGATGGCACCACGGTGGGTGATTAACTGGTTAACTGGCTGATGCCTACTGACAGGTTACTTGAGACATACTGCTTTAATACTCAAAGGGGCTTAGCTAATATAACAGACTCACACAACAACAGAGGGTTTGGTCTCACTAACTTTCCAGGTGCCTGAAGACAACAACAATCTTACTCAGACCGAGTAAGCTGCTGCTTGGGCCTCTCACCATCGCAGTTTTCAAGACAATCTATACATCCTAGACTAATCTTTCCTCCCACTAACCTTCATTTTGTTGTTAGGTTTTCAGTTGAATTCTATTTTGTCAAGGGAAATATTGGTAATGCAAGGTGTTTAGATTTTGGCTTTTTAATGTCATTGAACTCATGTTCAAAATGGTAATAATCCTTTATAATGAATTTGGTTAATGATAGACACAAAGCGTCAGACTGTTTCTTCTGGCCGAGCATTCACATGCCACATTTCTCACAGAATTATATTGTATTTAATAAATAATACCATGTACAGCAACAACAATACAAATTAGTCTCCAGTAAGTTTCTCATCACGTGGATAACTTTACCATCTTAGACTGCCACTGGCAATGAAGTCAGTAAAAATATTGTTTTTCTTTATTTTACTTGTTCCTGCAGGTGCTGGAAGATGACATGCGAGAACAAGGCAGAGGGATCCATGTGATAGTTCTCAACCAAGCAACTGTGAGCATGTGCTGCTTATTCTTCATATCATGACGCATGTCTTTCCACTGGCAACTCATATGTAAATATAACAAACTGCAATTACTGTACATACTAGAGGTAGGAGGAAAAAATGGATGCATCATATTATGATTTTTTGCTAATTGTGTTTCACTGTTTTTATAGCTGTATTTATCACAATACAAACAACGTTGAAGTTAAACTTATCAAATGTCAGTAGTAGATTTTTTTTTTTTTTAGCAATTTCAGATTTTTCAGTAAGTGTGTGTGTGTGTGTGTGTGTGTGTCACAGGGTCATGTGATGGCCAAGAGGATATTTGACACCTACTCTCCCCATGAGGATGAAGCCATGATCCTGTTCCTCAATATGGTGACTCGTGGTCGAATCCTCATCTTTACCATAAAGGTCAGGAGGTTCTAACTGTCTGAGGAGTGAAGGGATATTCATGTTCCAGTCATAAACCATACCTGTAACTGTGTTTTTTGGGGGCTTATTTGTCCTGCAGGATGAGGGCACATTCCACTTGAAAGATGCTGCTAAGAACCTGCTCAAGAGTCTGGGCAGCCAGGTGTCCCTCAATCTGAGCTGGAGAGACATGTGGACTCTAGTGGTGAAGAAAGGAGGTAGAAAAGCAGACCTTCATTTTTAACAATGACATTGAGGACAGCCATTATACAGGAAGAGCTTCACTAAATCGATCAGTCACAAAACATCTGAGGAGCTGGGGAGAATTATGATTGGTTGTTTAGAAACATTAAGAAGATTTGATTATGAGATTTCACAAAGTCAGCCCAAAGTGCACCATTTTATCGTGGATTGACATATGATTTTTATTTTATTTTTATTTTTTTAAACTAGAATCAGCCTAGATTGTTTTCAGGGCCACTACAACTTTACTGTGTATGACTGAAAGAAAGACTTTTTTTGTTCTACATATTCACATTTGTGTCTTGACCTTTGTGCTTGAGGTGTTGTCACTAATGGCTAAACACTTTTTCTTAGGCTGAAATTAATCATCTTTGATTTACAAGAAACAAAACAGATGGATATATTGTCTGTGCAGTTTTTCATCACTATTTTCTACATAAACTTGGATTTTGTTGAGAAGTTATCAGTATAAACCATAAATAAGGCATCTTTGATCAAATAAATCAGTCAGTAGGGGGGAAGAGACAAAAGGAAAAACAAGAGTTTATACTTGCCCTGAGATTACCTCTCTTGACTTGATGTTGTTTTTGTGTTCAGGTCAGGTTTATGGAGAGAAGCATTCAAAGTCTCCAGCTCTGTCTACCTGGGGAGACCCAGTGCTGCTCAAGACTGAAGTGCAACTTACTGCCTCTGAAGGTAAGAGCCAGTTTTAGCATGCTTGACAAAGGGTGAAATATTTAAACTTGATTCCCCTGTCGTGCACAAAATGTTATAAAAAACTAAAAGACTTGTAGCTTTTTTTATGAATAATCTTTTGAAAGTGCGATGACATGCAGTAAAAGTTGGGTCCTTGAGAAAAAAGTCAAAGTTGGGGATTTGCTTCTCCTTATATTAAGATTTTTTTAGTCCCGACGGTGTAGGGACCAGATGGGTTAAAAGTTTGAGACAAAGACTGTATATGAATGATGGTTGAAGTCACCGGTAGTTTTGGATTTCACATTTTGTAGGTTTAGCATGAGCATTTTGGCCACAGTTGGGGAAACTGTAAAATGTAAATTTAAAAAAAGATGATGATTTGAAGGTCTCAAACACATTTTATGCACAAAATAACACAAATGTTAAAACTGAGAAAAAATATTAGTTCAAACCAGTTGCTGAACTTTGGGGAGAGGAAAGTTGCTCATTGTTGTTTGATACAAGAGCCGAGCTGCTCAAAAGTCTTGTGTCATCGTTGTTGTATTTTTCATTTCATCATGTGTCAAATATTTTTAACTAATTAAAGGTCTCGGCTCCAGGCAGGCCAGTTCAACACCTATAATTCTGACCAATGTATTTTGCGGTTTAGCATTGTCTTGCTGAAATAGGCCTCACATGGAAAAAAACGTGTTCTCTTTGAGAGCATATGTTGCTCTAAAAGCTGTGTACACATTTTAGCATTAATAGCGCCTTTTCAGATGTGCAAGTTGCCAGTTCTAATGCACCCATCTATATACCATCAGAGATACAGGCTTTTGGATTGAGTGCTGATAACAAGCAGGATGGTCCCAGTTCTTTTTAATCCAGAGAATGCAACGGCAGCCATGTTTGCAAATAATAATTTAACGTTTGGATTTGTCTGACAAGAGAATAGTTTCCCACTCTGCCTCAGTCATTTTACGTGAGCTTTGGCTCAGAGCAGAACACAGTATTCCTGGATCATGTTCATATACATCTTCCTCTTTTGCATGATAGAGCTTTAAGCTATATTTATGGATGACACAGATGCAAGTTTGCCTCTCTAACATGTTCTTTTCAGTCATTTTGCTGGCCTGTTGACAGTTAACCTAATGTATTGCAACATGTTCCGCCTGCTCTATCTTTTTAGTATTATTTACTTCTTCAGCCTTTTTCCCCACCCCAACCTTTTTGCTGATATAGAAATCGGAATACTTTATGAATCCATAAGAGAATAAAGTTCAAAATCATTTTATATGTTACAAAAAACTGTTAAAATAATTTGGGATGTGATCTTATGTTCTGCAGAGGCAGAGTGCCACTGGGCAGACACGGAGCTGAACAGGAGGAGGAAACTCTTCTGCAGCAAGGTGGAAGGATACGGCAGCATCTGCAGCTGCAAAGATCCGGCACCCGTAGAGTTTAATCCTGACCCTGTAAGACATGTAACAGACACGACTCTTTAGTTTCACCATGTTTTTCCTGCGTGGGGAAGCACAGGAATGCCAAGCTGTAAGGAGGGAGTAATGTCCTTGCATCAGTCAATGATATTTATTTATTTATTTTGCTATAATTTGTATGGTTTTTTTGGTCTTGGATGAAGACAGAATCCCACAGAAGTGAGAGTAGCATTTGAGCGAGTAGTGAGGCACTGAGCACACTTGCTCATATGTTTGAGTATGCTCAACTTCACTGTCTCGATGATACTTCCTGTGCTGCTCTGTAGTGAGCCCAGGATTTTGGCATTAGTGCTCTTCAGGCTCAGTTAGAGTGACCCTCCAGTTTGCAATGAATCTCCACAACAGAACAGAACAGACTGTCATCATCTGCAGTCCAAAATGGTGGAGCTGGAATTTGTCTGAGCATGCTGCGAGGGACTCAAGACAGTTGAATGACATAAGGGGCCTCCATCCGACAAAAAAGCCCGAAGGATGCCACAGAACAGGAAGGACTGAGTTAGCTTAGAGTCCAGTACTAAAACAACCACTTCTTAGACAGATGGAAAAATAAAGGTAAATTGACGAATTTACCTGGCCAGCTGTCCGAATACATGAGGCTGTATAGTCTATGTAAAGTGTCATTGTTAAAATGCTCATATACTTGGATTTAAGTAGTCAGGTGTATGCTTTACCGATTCTTGTCTTCTTGTCCACTAATTTGAGTTTCTTGTGTGCAAGTATAGATTCAGTATGGTCACATTTTTACTGTTTCGTCATTGCAGCTCCCCATCAATAATGTTTTCAATGTCCCAGTGGCCGTTATTGCAGGAAACAGACCTAACTATCTCTACCGGTAAGATCTGAAAAATACTCTTCTGTCATACAGGGAAGTAATAAATCTCTGTCAAAATATAACTAAGTGTTTGGCTTTTTGTTGTTGTTTAGTATGCTGAGGTCACTTCTTTCAGCCCATGGTGTTAACCCACAGATGATCACAGTCTTCATTGATGGATATTATGAGGTACCTTTATTAATATTATTATTATTATTTGTTTATTTGTATTATTTGTATGTATGTATTTATTTATTTATGTATGTATTTATTTATTTTGATTGCTGCAGTTTACTTCTGCCAGTGATTGGGGTGTACCTTTGCTGGTGTTAGGTCATATGACTATCAAAGTCATACAATTTTAAGATCTTAATCAACACATCATATTTCAATACCTTATTTTAAACAAATACAACAACCATAATTTTATTTGCAGAAGTCTTTATGGATAGTTTAGGTATCTATATATCTTTTTCCTTGTCAGAGACTTTGAAGTTATTGATAACTTTTTACACCTTGGCTGTAAGAGGCTGATGCGGATTTGTTGTTAACCTGCCGGGCAGGCAGCGTTGGCACCGAAGTTGTGAACGCGATAACTCAAGTAACTCGTAGGAATTTGAAATTGATAATATTGGTGCTCCTAATAAAAATGTTGGATGAGTTTAAATCTCAGTGACCTCAATCTCAAGGTCAGAGGTCAAGTTTTTTTTAGAAAGCCTTGTGAATGCGATAACTTGAAAACAAGGCTTTTGAAATTGATACTATCTCTAGGAGACGAAGGGGTACCACTGACCACTTTTTTTATTTTTTTATTGGGAGTCTGTTTGACTTATAACGATCACGCGTGTTTTACCAAATGAATGAACTGAATCTATAAATTATCTTGTTAAATGTTAAAAAAATAAATAAATCTCTACAGTGTATCCTCGTCATAATTACCACGAGAGTAGGATTAAACTGCATCCTTTGTGAGATTAAAAGAATTTAAACTAGAACTACAGAAATCCGTTTTTTGGATGTTTTTGTGTTCTCTCTTTAGGTTTCTATTTCTTTTAGAAACAGAATTGTCATTTCAGGTTATACTCACCACCTCACTGGATTTTGTTCAGGGAAACAGTTTGCAAATTATTAAAGAATCTTTTTGTAGCTCTCAAACATCTGCCTTTTTGACTCAGGAGCCAATGGATGTTGTTGACCTGTTTGGACTGAAGGGAGTTCAACACACACCTATCAGCATCAAGAATGCCAGAGTGTCTCAGGTAAGCAACAGCCTCTCATTCAAGGGTTAACACATAATTCAGAGCAGTACAAGCATAAATTTTAAAGGACCAATGTTTCCTTTACAGAAACGTTCAGCAGTGTTGTTATTAAATTATTCTTTGTTACTGTGAAACTCAAACATCTCTTTCCTCAATCACAGCACTACAAAGCGAGTCTGACAGCAACCTTCAATCTTCACCCAGTAAGGACCAACATCAAACACTCAACTGTATCATGTTAATGCAGTTTGTTATAACTCTTATTTGAATTTTTCATCTTTTATAATAAGTGCATTGTACAGCCTCAATTTTACATTGCACTTCAGCATTTCTTTAATTAAGAAAAAAAATCATCTGGCACGTCCAGAGGTTTCACAGTGCACACTCAGTTGCTCCAATTCATTTGTTTCTCTGACCATCATAACTAACCTGCAACTTAACCAGAGGTAAACCCTCTAACATAAGTCTGAATTGTAACTGTATACATATAAATTTCTGCTTCCACTCAATATTAATGAGACTTCTGAAACTCTTACTGTCAACACTGACATTATGATTTTATGCAGTGAACTCTGTGAATGCACTGTGGGTGTTTTAGTGTGTGCAGTTGCCTGGGGGTAGAGTCTGTATGCACCATATGTATGCGCTCATTAGAGTTTGTTGTGTCTGTTTTATCTTTTCCCAGGATGCTAATTATGCCATTGTACTAGAAGAAGATCTTGATATATCCATTGACTTCTTCAGGTATTTCTTCCAGTCTACATTACCACTACTAAAAGCAGCCAGATGTCCATGTTAGTTCCAGAAAAGGGCTCTTACTGATTGATATCTAGTCACTCTCTACTGACAACTTTTTATGCAGCTGCTGTTTTTGGTTCTTAACCTGGTACCGGTAGTCTCATTCTGTTAGACTCTACTCATGCTTATGGAATCTGTGCTAAAAATTCTCCATTATTTCAGAGCAAACTCCCTTTAAATTGATTTTACATTTAATGTTATTGTGAAGTTTATTTAATTGCTTATGTATTACTTAATTACTTCAGTGTAGTAAGCTGTAAATGCTTTAAACTGCCGTTAAAAGTTCAAAATGTACGCCCCTTACACTTTTTCTTGCTTGGCTGATTGGTGGCTCTCCCCTTGTATTGTCCTGTATTCCACCATCTTG